TTAAACCATTTAAAAAATACGAAAATAAATTCTAAATTGTTTATTTCGTTTTATTTTCTTGAAAAATATATATTCCTTGCTCGAATTTAATAAAATAAAACATAAAAACAATATTAAATCATTTAAAAAATACGAAAATAAATTCTAAATTGATTCTTTCGGTTCCTTTCCTCTTCTTTTCCTTAAAACTACATATCCCTTGCTCGAATTAAATAAAATAAAACAGAAACCAAAATATTAAACCATTTACAAAATACAAAAATAAATTCTAAATGATTATTTTTCGTTACTTTCCCACTCCCCCCCCCTACTTCCATTTCCACTATCCTACTCGAATTTCTTTCATCGATGATCTTCTCGAAGGAGAATACAAACGAGATAAATCTTACACCACCGTTACACCGTTTCTCTCTAAGGTGAAACGCGAAATAGTAGGAGATAGAAAAGTAGTTAAAGAAAGAGAAAGAGAAAAACACACACATATATATATATATATATAAAGATAGAAAGATGGTGGTTGGTTGGTTAAAGGCAACCAAGAGAACAGGTAAAACAAAAAGTTAAGAAAAAATCAAAAACCAGTCTCGTGCAGGAGAAGTCAGTAGTCTCACAACCTACCCAACTCTTTCTCTCTCTCTCTCTCTCTCTCTTTAAATGTATCCGTTTATATATACACATATATATATGTACGTATATGTATATGTATCTCTATCTCTTTCCCTCTTTCGTTTATTTTTTATTTCCTCTCCATTCCACTCCTTTCGACTACTACCTCTCATCGCTACCACCACCACCACCACCACCACCATTATCCACCACCATTATCCACCACCACCAACGTTATATCCACCACCTCCTTTTTCTCCTCCTCCTCCTCTTCCTCTTCCTCCTCCTCCTCCTCCTCCTCCTCCTTTTGCCACGGCGGCGGTTCCTCACGGTCCACGCTCTTCCTTAATTCAGTCCAATGAGAACCGTTCTTCGATTCGTCACACCCGCTAAGAATAATCGCCGTGCAACTAAGCAAATTTTTTCTTTTCTTTTTTATATATAAAAAATAGCGAGTGATTTTTCTCAACAAACAATTTTTGTTTATTTCCTCTCAAAACCTACCTGTATTCTCACCCCCTTTTTATTCACCCTTCTGTTGTTACCATCCACCATTTTATTCTTCCGCTAATTTTTTAACCCCCTCCCYCCCCCCCCCCTCCCATCATCATCATTACAATCATCAAACACTAGGTGACATCGACATATCAATCTTTGGGATTTTCTTTTTCTTTTCTTTTCTTTTCTTTATTTTCTCTTTGTTTTCTTATTTTCTCTTTTTCGTTATTTCCGTTCACCATCAGTATCCACCACCACCACCATCAATACCATAAGCATTAATACTCTACGTGTATTTTTCTGAGTGAACGAACGAACGAACGAATCATTCAGTACGTGTGTTGCAAACACATTAAAGTCGTGAAATTAAGTGTCGTAATACGCGCTTTGTATATAATCCGATGGGTGAGATAGAATTGAGATTGTTCTCAATTAACAAGTAGATACATTTTTCTCTTAGAAAGAAGAAACAAATTTATATAGAAAAATAATAAAAAAAAGATATCGCAATATTCTATTAAGAAAACTTATAAGTATACTAGTGAATAAATATTTGAAGCATCTTGTTTTTTTTTTTATATAAAATAATAAAATAAAATAACGATAATATTATAAATAATTTCTCAATCTTCTTGTTTTTAGTTTGTTTTATATAATACGAAATTGTTTGAAATCGAAAAGTTGAAACGTCGAATCGAAGGTGAATTCTCACCTGGTCCCACTTGGTAGTGTCCTCCATTAAGGAACCACTTCTTCTTCCTCTTCCTTTTCTTATTTTTATTCTTCTTCTTCTTCTTCTTCTTCTTCGAGTTCTTCGAGTTTCTTAGTAGAGACATGAGTTTCAACAGTCAAGACGACGCACCTCACGACGAAGGAAATGTCTCGACGTACCAGTCGCAACGCGAACCGGTTACGCGCTCTTAAAATAGTTTCTCACGCGTAGGTAACTGGTACGAGGTGTGCTCCTGTTCACTGGAAATACGCTGATCGATGTGTAAGGTAAATTATCGATACGCATATATACACACACACAATCATATATTATACATATGAGTCGTTTATTTTCTAAGTTGTTTAAATTCATTTGTCCAGTTGTTTCTTGGTTTATTGTATTACCTGGTAACGTGTACTATCTGAAGTATAAAATCATCTTGCAGAAAATAAAACATGAAGTTAGGTCAGTTTCAAAATTAATTGCTCGTATATATTTTCTAAATTGTTTAAAACTATTATTTGTCCAGATGTTTGTATGTTGGTTTACTGCACTATCTGGTGGCATGTACTATCTGAAGTTAGCTATCATCTTGTAGAAAATAGAAAATGAAGTTAGGTCACA